TTAGCAATGCTGAATTCCCCCTTCAGAGAATGTCCCACATAGGAGACGACACCAACCTTTACAAAGGGGTTTCCAGTAAATTCTCTGTGGATTTTGTTGTTTGCAACTATCGGGTTTTTTGAACCCAGATCCTGAAAAGGTGTTTTACACCATCCCTCGCACCTGCGCGTCCCTTCGCAGCAGGAGGCTCTGCCGAGGCAGCTCTTCAGTTCGGGTATCAGATGAACGAGTCCACCGCGTTGCCCGCACGGGCCAAATCAGCTCCCTTTCGAGTTGGTGAAAAAAGTACTCGGCATTGCTGAGATCAAGTTTTGACCTTCATTTTGAAGAAAAGGAGCAGGATCTTAACCGCTAGATTTATCCTCGAGCGCGATGGAAAGCCCTGGCTAGAGGGAGGCAGGATCATCCTGGGGAGCAGAGCGAAGCTTGAGGTCTGAGGGGTTTCCCTTCGCGCGGGGGGAAGGTCAAAAGTACATTTTAGGACACTTTTCATGAGTGATTGTGCTCCCGACATGGCGGCTGAGGATGAGATGTTTCAGCAGTGACTCAGAGGAAGAAGGTAAATAAACACTTTTTATTTCAAACACAGGATTAAATTCCTTCATGTCTGGATCATTCAAGGTAAAGCTCCTGTAATCTCCTCATTGTGATCCACAGCCCGTCGTCTGGTGGCTGCTGCACCCGCTGCGCCCGGCGCGGGAGCGGTTGGGACAGCGAAGGGACAATGCAGGGATGCGGGAGGTGGCACAGAGGGCAAGAGACGGCCGGGAGCAGAGCTGGGCACCGGGGCTGCTGCTCCGTTAGCGGCACCGCTCGTGAAAAGCTGGTGTGGATCGTCCCTAAGTCAGTGAAATCGTTCTGGGAATTCATGGACTGAAGCTGAAGGAGCTGAGATTTTACCTCGACTGCTTTGCAAGGGGGAGGCTGAGAAACAACACTGTGAAAAATGCAATTGTGACAAGGAAAACCCCAACTCAAAGCCACTACATCTGTATTTGTACGTATTTTTGTATGTGCCAGAGAACCACATTTCATACCAAGTTCTCATCCATGCTGCAAAGTGCCTGTACAACACGCTCCTGCTCCCACCGTGTGCTAAAAACCCTCTCTCCTGATCATAGGGGACAAAAAATAAGCCGGGATCATTCCTGGCAGCTTCCCCTGCAGTTCTGCAACATCCCTGCAGCGAGGGCAGACGTGTGGCACAAGCGTCACCGAGGGCCTGTGCTGGCTGCTGGGGCGAGCTGCAGAGCAAGGCCTCCACCGTGAGCGTCCCTGGCCCGGCCAGCCTGACTGGAGAAGGGCTGCGGCTCTCCGGCACAGCGCCGGCAGCGGGTGGAAACGCGGAGCTGGCTCGGGGCTCCCAAAACGCTGGCAGGTTTGGCTGAGCCCCGCGGGAGGCGGGAGCTGCCCCGGGGCAGAGGAAAGGTGACGGGACTATGAAAGGTGATGGGACTGCGTGACCAGGCAGCTTCTGCAGGGGAAAATGCCACGTAGCCACGGACGTCCAAGCAGTGCCTGCGGGGATGATCTTCATCCACGGTAATTGCTTACAAATGAGTTGTTTTTTAAATTGCTTTTGTTGCTTTCTACTTTTTCTTCACTGATTTTCCATAATGCTTCAGGTAAGTCTCGTGCGAGATGTGGTGGTCTCATTGCAGGAACGATGGATCCATCCAAACGCTCAGCAGATGCTCCAAATATTTCTCCGCTTGATTTTCGGCAGGACAGTTAATCCACAGTGGCTGCATCACGTGCCGAAGCGCCTCAGCTGCCGACGACTCGCGCCGAGAGCCGCGCCGGCGCTTCCCGGGCCCACGGGGCCGCAGAGGCGAGGGAGAGCCCGAGGATGCCGGCCGTGCCCGCGAGGGTCCTCCCTTCGCAGCGACGGTGCCGTGCATTCTGGGGCAATCCCATCTGACAGGTAGGAAAGCTGAGCCGCGCCGGGTGCTTGGCGTCGCCCGAGGACCTATTTTGCCCGTGTCAGAGTGAAGGAGCGAGCTAGATTTGCAGTTCTTGGAAATGATGGTTCATTAGACGCCCAGCCGGTCATTTCAGTAGGGTCACGCTTCCAAGGTCCATTCCAGGTATCATTTGATGTCATCCTTGTACAAGAGTTTGGGGTTTAGGTAATTTTTCTTTACCATGCAAAGCCTTTTTAGAGGTGGTCTTAATATTCACACTGATGGGGAAATACTGGGTTAGTTGTTACGGAGCGCCAAAAAAAAGGGCTAGCAAGAAATCTACAATATAAAGACAATTTTATTGCCGATAAGCTCTTAAAACTCATTTTTTTTTTCCTGTTTCAGTAGGACCTTATTCTTCCTGATGAAAATCCGGTCATAGCATCTCTCATTAAAAATAAAATTATTTTGAAATAAATAAATATATAAAATAAATATCATATACATTTTATAAATAGTTTTGTCCTTATGCACAGTATCCATGCTTACATCTGAATAATGTTCCTCGCCCCATTCCCACCCCAACAGCAGGAAAAAACCCCACGCATCAGGACCAGTCCACGTAGCATCATCCATGTAGCAAACTCCCGGGCTGCTTAAGCAGGGTACCATTCCAAAGGCTTTTTCTTAGCAGGTAACCATCCCGAGCTTAGCAGCAGCACCTGCAGCAGTTCTGTGGTCTTTTGTTTTCTTTCCTTCTCTTCATTTTTAGGTTTGTTGTTGGTTTTTTTTTTTCCCGCCCTGGTGATCAGGTTTGCTCGCCTGCTTGTTCCTTTAAGCAACCGTAACACTGAATATTCGGCCTCTCTTGTAGCAACCGGGTAAAGAAAGTGAATGAAAACGAAAGATTATATGTAGGGTTCCCTCCCTTCCCCTGCCCCCACCCCCATAAATAACCCAGGTTCGATATACGCTTGAAACAAGGAGGAACAGCAGTGTCTGAATTCAATGTAAGTGCTTTCCTATGTCATCTACGCTTACAGGAATGATGGAATGACTATTAATATAGTGCTCTGGGAAGAAGCTTGGGAGCCCAAGTATGTACACTGACGGGGCAGCTGCAGGAAACATCACCTGTAGTGGAAGAGGTCTCTGTACATGGCGGGTATTTTGGCAGGGTCCACAGGCCTGGGTAAAAAATGAGTGAATTTCTGATGTCTCTTAGTCCTGTACCCCTCGCGGGGGGAGCCGTCCTTGTTCAGAGCCACGTAGTAATGCCTCTCCGAGTCGGGATGCTTGTAGAGGGTTGAGGCGTATGTGTTGTACCAGTTCTCTTCAAACTGCTCTCGGAAAACGCACTCCCGTGTGAGCTTCTTCTGCGTTGGGGCAGAGGCGGGAGGGGAAGAAAAAGACATTTGTGTCAAAAATTTAAAAAAAAAAAAAAATAAAAATCTTTTCCTCCTTCCTTCACTTTATTTTCCTATAATTTTCCCAGCTACCTTCTCCCGGCTCCCCTGAGGACGAGGACTGTGCTGCCGGGGACGTTTCCCCCGGGTGAGAGCTGGAAACGGGCACAAACCGTACAAGCCGGGACCCAAAGACCTCTGAAGTTGGAGGAGGAAGGAGACAAAAGAAGGAGGAGAAGGTGGGTGTGCATTTTGCAAAGGTGCCCCATAAAAAAAATAAAACAGGGCCATAGCAAAACTCTAAACCCGACAGCCAGGTCTCTGCGATCGGGGTGTGAGTTTGGAGCTTGCTGGGTGCAGAGGGCACCCGCAGCCCCGGCCGTAGGTACCGCACACACACCAAAAACGCTCTCTTAGGTGAAAGGCAACCCCGGGAGAAGCAGCGGGCAGCGCATCTGAAGGGTTTAAACACGAGCGAGCACCGCTTTGAAAGTTCAAGGCACGTAATAGCGTACACTGCAGTGCGAATGAAAGCATTCCTCAGGCCTTTCATCTTCTGAAGCGCCAGATAGCTGTGATGTGAGGCCATAACAAGACCCGGGGAGGTCTGGATGGGGAGCAGCACTCCGGGGATGTCTAACCCCGGGGAAGATTTACGGTGGCGATAGGTGATGTGATGAGCGTGTGCCAGCCCACGGCCAGCGCATCCCGCACTGGGCCGGGGGGATGGATGGCACCGGTGTCACCGCGGCCGCAACCAGCCTTTCCTCCAACCCTTACATCCAGGGGCTGTCGGCAGCGGCTGTTCGATGATGGCTTTTCAGTTCATGCCCATCGCTCCTTCCCTCTCCCTCCCATCGCCCCCGTGCCAGCTACGGGGACGTGCCCAGCCGCAGCGAGGAGCGGGGCTGTCCCCCTGCCCCGCGAGGACGTGGGTGGCTTTGCCAGCGGGACCCGCCATCCCGTCCCGTGCCACGGGGGGATTGCCGGGGGGGACGTGGGAGTCCTTTCAGATGAAAGGCGGTCCGCAAATGTAGGATGCTGTAATATTACAAACACTCTACCTACACTGTAAACTATTCAGGTAGGGAATGGTTCTTATCTACAGCATCCAGAGTGCTAAGTAAATGTTATTGCCTGCCGTAGATGTTTTGTAATACGATCCAGGAGCTCACCTGGGCTCAGAACCTGTTTTGAATGTTTTGCTGCTAATTAAATAAACCCTGAGGTGAGTCGTGAGCCCTCCAAAAGCCTACGCGACAGCCCTTGCCATCTGAGACCTGGGGAACCGGGAACTGGGGGTTTCTCTTCCCAGATCCATCAATAAATACAGACTTTTTTTTTTTTCTTCCCGTAGGATGCCCTCTACTCAGAATATGTTGGAAACTGCCGACCGGCTGAACTCGTGCGCTGCTGCGTTGTCCCGGTTTACCTGCTCTTCACTGGGCTGTTGGGAGGTACAGTGTTTGTGTAAAACGTTTGGAGAGTCTGGGGTGACTCTGCAAGGTGTGATTTCTTTCTTTCCAAGCCCCGGGATGTCCCCACTGAGCCCGACGCCGTACAGGCAGCGCGCAAGGTGCTGCCTGCGACTTTTGCTGCTCTAAGTGTTAGTTGCGTTCCTGAAATTGGTGGAAAGCTTGACAGAAACATTGGCACAAGGTCAACAGGGACAGGCAGAAAAGCTGTCTGTCCCGAGGGGACTCCACGTGTCGCTGCGGGGATGGCTGGCTCTGGCTATATCAACACACAGATCAGGGAAAACTGGCACAGAGGGAAATAATAAACTTGCTGAAAATTTAAAAACACCGCTGTACTGTAATCTCCTAAAATACCATTGTAATGCTAATGCTGTTGTTAGGCGCTGTTTTATGGACCTTTAATTAAGAATACTGTAGTGGCTTTCAATTTTGAAAAGCCATCATTGTACAACCCACGTATCCCAGATTTTAAAACTCCAGGGTTATTTGGGGACCTGGCTCGTGACTTCTGCACAGTTTGGATCAGTGGTTTGCCTGCGTCCCTGCAGCGTCCGGTCAGTGTATTGTCTGGTGTACAAGATGCAATGACAGAGAGAAAACTCCCATGATTATGTCTTCAGGTCAATTCTGTTTCCAGCTAAAGTGTCGTAAAATGTTATCCTAATCTTGTTTCTGTGTCGTGACATGAACACCGGCCCTAGAATTTAATTAACCCATCATGAAACTGTTGATTCATAATCAGAGCTGCAGGGTTTGAAAGCACAGAAGGGAATATGCAGGCTTGTGTCCTCCTTTTCAGCAGGCACAAGGAAAAGCTGCAACTCCAGGAGCTGCTGAGCAGGCTCGGGGTTTGACAGGAGAGGGGCTGCTGCACGGGCGTAGGCTCCAGCCCTGTTTTCTGAAGTGGGCTTTAAGATTTTTTGTGTTTTATGGAATCCTGGTGATTTTACTTTTTATCTATCTTGCAGATTTGTAATTTAACCGCTGTCTCCGCATTTAACTTTTGTTTAGGGTAGATGTTATTACAGAAATGAAGTGGAAAAAGAACAGTTATTGGTGCATGCTAGTATTTGATTATCCCAAACAAACATCAGGAACTGCATCTTAAAATAGTGAAAGGGTCTGTGGCAGTCTCAGGTGGGAGTGGAAGAAGAAAACATGATGGAAACTCGTGGTTTACTGTTACTGTTTGCTAAGCAAAGGTTTTCTGAAGGCTTCTGTATATGCAGAGTACAGGAGTTTAAATTTCTACACTATGAGATTGGTCTGATTTGCTTAGAGGAAGTATGTGCCTTCCGCTGTGGTTTAAAACTGGTTTACTTTATTTCATTTTAAATTTACTGTGATCCATCCTTAAAAATCAGTATCCTCACAGAGGGTAGTGCTGTGATCTAGAAAGAGGCATTTAAAAAAAACCCCACACACAGGTGATGGGTTGAATTAAAGGCAATGGGGCATCTGAAGAAAAAGCACCAATGAAGTGAAGCAGCCACAGAAAAGGAAACTTAAAAATGGCTATCTAGAATGCATTTACTTTTTCAAAATAGAAATGATTCTTCTGGCTAACTAGAAATAACTATTTTATATTGCGTTAAATAATTAGGAATTGAGTTAAATTAACCTGTAGGAAGCACCTCTGCCCGGTTGTTAAGACCTGACATTTTGACTGCAAGTCTTAAGTAGAAAGAAGCAGAGGACAGCTTGGCTCTCTTCAGGTTGATGGAGACTTTACCTGTGATGCCAAAGCTCTTCACAGCACCCCTTCCCCACAGTCCCGGCTGAGCTTTGCAGAAGCGTTCACTCCGTGTGCGGGTGTTTCATCCAGCAAAACCCTGACACACGCTTGCTTTTTGGGGCTGGCTCAACAGAGCACCTGCCCATGTTCACAGTGGTTTACGGGGTGGTGCAGGTTCAGTAACGTTGGGCAGAAAAGCAGCGAGGTGGACCTGAGCGGGTCCCGGCTGCGGCAGCGCAACCTGCGAGCCACGGCTCTAAGGGCATGGCCCAAATCAAGGGAGCAAACGACAAACTCACAAGCTGCCACTAGAAACCTGAGCCTGGACTGGAAACAGGGTGTCTTCTGCTTTCTCTGTCCTACAGCAACACAGGATGGGGCAGAATCTGCTACAGGCGATGTTAGGAAGAGTTTATAGGTATTCAGGAGTTTGTGTGGAGTGAAAAACTAACAAGGAGTTTACACCTGGCTGTTGGCAAAACACAGCAAATTTTAGTCTGAAAAGGGCACTTCTAGAAAATTATGAGCAACTCCCTTAAACTCCTAAAAGGACTTGTAGAGAATGTTATAATCAAATAACACTCAGACCACAGCTTCAGCTTCCGTTAGTTAAAGAGCTATAATATAAATGCAAAAATCTGCAGATAGGTGCAGATCCTGATCACGCGGAGGATAAAATTGATGTGTTTCTCAGGCAATGAAAACACACGAGCAGCCCCTGGTTTTATGCTGAATTTCCCTTCTGCCTTTAGTTGACTGTTGCCACACTGTTTCTGAAAGGCAAAACCTCAGTAAGCCCCCCCAGCTCCCCAGGCACTGCCCCAAGCGGTGTCCAGGGGCTGGCCACCACCATGGGCTCTCACCGCACGAGTGTATCCTCCCTCCACAGCCCTATTTCATATATATCATTTATGTTATAAAAGCAGTGGCATCCCGGGTAGGATGGAGGTTATGTGGCAGCCCAAGGACTTCGGAGGCCTGTGACAGACACAGCTCGTGATGCCGATGAGGCCCCGCAGCCTGTGCTGCTGCGTATGTTATATAGTGCTGTAATCAGCACAAAACCTTAAACTTACCGACCCATACAGCTCGCCTCTCTCATTCATGCCGAGGTAGAGTCCTGAGTCCACCCCACGGATGCTCACCAGCCCCACTGCCAGGCTAATAAACTCCAAAATCCCTGAAACAGAAAAGAAGCCCAAATCATACAGAGAATAAAACCAACACCAGGCTCCAGTGACAAACGCGAACCAGCCTTTCCCAACCTTTGCAGAGCTTCCTACAGACCCCGTTCTCCTTATTTATAATGACACAGTTCTTAAATGTGTAGTCCCATACGCGTGCAATTTTCCAATTTCCACTCTAGGCTTCTCCCCAGCATTGCGTATTTGACTTGCCCAAGAGGAATTACCTTTGCTAATGAGAAAAGGTTTGCTAGGTTTTATTGTTTTGGTTTTGGGTTTTTTTTTTTTCCTAATTATCGCCAAGAAGACAGATGTAGAAACCTGTGCCTGGCCCACTAGAAATTTCAGAAGGCTGTTACCACGCTGGGTTTTATTCTTCACCAAAAGGAGAGTGATTTTTGTCACCGTGGGGCTTCTGGTTTGAGATGATAGTCCCACATGTTTTAAAGTGATGAGTTCAATAAAAATAAGTAAAAGCACTAGAAGAGATGTCTGCAAGGGCCATCTTCATCCTGGCACTCCAGTGGGGTACTTGCCGCCCCCAAACGTATATACAAGCCGCAGGGATAAAATCCAACTTCAAATATACGCAGGTGGAAATGCATTTTCCTCTGCAGCCTTTGGAGCCGGGGAGCTGCCGCTCCTTCCTCCGTCACCCCCTGCCACCGTTACTGCCAGAAACCCCCTCCTGCCCCGTATGTCCTGCTGCCCGCCCCAGCCTCCTGCCAGCCCCTTCCCGGTCCACCAGCATCTGTCCTAGCCACCCCTGGCCCTGCGAGAGCAACCATTTTACCCATGGGCTTCAGCCTACAATGATGGTGTCAGATACTTTAAATAATGAGGGGCAGCCTCATTTCCTCTGGCAAAGAAAGCAGCGGGGTCTGCCACGCTGCCTGCTGCACCCCTGCTGCCGGTAACGGGGATGGCAGCTGTTTTGATGGAGGAAAGACTTGTAATAGGAGAACCCTTGGTGAAGCGCTTAAAAACAAACAGCCCCCAAGTAGGTGCGTTTTTAACAGGTTTGAACAAAGCCAACATCGCAAGTGGAGACCTTCAAACTTCACAGGAAAACCTCCTGAAGTCATTAGTGGGACTGTGTTAGACTCTGGATATCACACGCTCCCTAGCTAGAGGTCACGGGCAGTCCTTGCCCGTGTCCAGTGCTGAATTAATTAGCTGGGAGGTAGCAGCAGAAGGAAGCAAGAGGGTTTTCACCATCCCATCTAATGACTGGACAAGACGTCTCCATTGACAGGAGGACAAAGTTGCTCTAACCTTTAGCGTGGCTCCAGGTCTCTTAATATAGCTCCCAAAATGTCCAGTCCTGAGCAATTGCCGCTCTGATCAGGTTACGTCCCAGAGCTCCTCTTAAAAGTATGCCTCGAGTCTAAAATCACCGCGTGACGAGCGGCCACCTGAGCCAGCTGACTTCAGCAGCAGTCGCAGCTCCCGGTCACCCCTCAGCATGTGTCTTCTGCTCAGCCAGGCGTGGATGCAATAACTCTCAGACGATAACTGCATCACCGCCTAAATATAGGACAGACCAGATGGCGATGGACACCTCTGTCCCCCTTCGCTCAATGCAGACTCATCAGTCAGATGTTGGCAGCTATGCTGGGTGCAAGAATTAGTCTTCCTACCTTATATCAGACTTTTTGCCCTGCCTACTCTGGGGCTTGTGCGTCGAATCCAGCCCTCCCTGCAGCCAGCGGGTGCTGGGGGCGGGGGGAGATGAAATATGGACTTGGGAACAGCAATTCCTCGAGACAAACAGGGAAGCAAACAGAAAACATGCTTTATGGACCAGTGCAGTCATTTTCCAGACTGAAATATGCTCAGCCCCAGCCTGGGGACACATACTGCCTTCAGAAATGCCAGCAGCCTTCCCAAGCCAGGCAGGCAAACCAGGACCCTGGCTCTGCTCTGCTCTGCTCTGCTCTGCTCGTGGTACTCTAGTTACTGTGGCTTCTTATCTGAAAAGAAGCACAACCGGGGAGGGAAGAGGCGCAGGATGAGGGGTGGTCTTCTGCCTCCGCTACCCACCGGTTCTGACACGTGGAGGCAGTTACTGAACTCTGTGTGCTTCCGTTTTCCCATCTGCAGGACAGAAATGACGACAGCCACTGTTTGAAAAGGAGGGAGTGAAGGAAGATTGACAACAACTAGAGAGAGTGTGAAAAGTAATACAGGGGGGAAAGGAGTACAGGGATGCCCAGAAACGGGGGAGTCCTTCCCAGGCTGGAGACAAGTGGATGTTCAAGTGAAAAATATCTGATAACTGGAGAGCAGTAGATCGACCTTCGTATAGGTACAAACACAGTCCTCGGCACCAGCGTATTTTTTTTTAATTTGTCTTCTGCCACCCCTGGGAAGCAGGAAAACGCTGCTGGTCCCATTTAGAAACCGAGGGATATCTGAGGCAGGGAAACCGAGAGCCTTCCTTGAGTATACCCACGAGCACGGTCTGTACGTGGTACATGAACCCAGGTCTCCAAAGACCTGGTAAGGAGCAACCCAGGAGCAGCATTAGTGTCTTCCCTCTCTGAGCGGGTGGGTGAGACACCCCTCATCTGGTGCAGACTGGGTGAATACTTGCTGGTTTTGCAAACGAAATTTCTTCAAGGTGTGCCCATGACAATCTCTTCCGACAATGTCCCTTGCAGTATTCCCCTTTTCTGATCTTTGAGTGACACTTAGAGACGCGCACGGAAGATGACTATGTTGAAATAGCATTAAGAATGTAACTTAAACCCACAAAAGTCAGGAGACAGAGTGAAGGCTGAAAAAATGTGGGCGGATATCCATCCTGTCCTTAACTCACTCCAACTGCTAGACAAAATTGCAGCTTCGTACATCTGATCTCTAGCAGCACAGGGAGCGGCCACTGGGGCCAGCTCAAGAATTTTCTTTCCAATTGTAGCGGTGTGTTTTTGTGGTAGAACATGCTTTTTTTTTTTTCCCTTTTCCTTTTTTCTTTCCCCCAGGACCTGCCTCTTTTTTTGTGCTTTGATTATTCATTCTGTGTGTTCCTTGAGCCTTTCTAGATAATATTTGGAGAGATTTGATTAAGACTCCGACTGGATTCATTTACCACCAAAGCACTGAATAATCTCCCGAGCTTTGCCGTGGCCGGACCCACACACTCTCGCCTTACTATAAACCGTCCCTCAAAGAACAATTCAGCTCCTTGCACCTGTCTCTTCTTACATGACTATATTCAGGAGCAGGGGTACAGAAACATCAGATGTTGTATTAATGGCTACAAACCTAAAGCTTCGGCTAAAAACCTCAACAACTGTTCAGCAACAGGTGCACTACGGTCTGAACGTCAAAATCCACAGCAAAACTTTCTTTGGAGGTTTCATCAGCTTCTCTAGGAGACTGTGTTACAGATCCATTAGCAGGTTCGTACCTGAGAAGAGCTTCATTTGCTGCCTTTATTAGTCTGCTGTACAAACTCAAGGCCTTTTTCTCTCCTCGCTCGCAGTTAAGAGTAGCACCGTTGCTGTCACTTGTTTAATGCTGCTGTAAACCAGACATGAGGCAGAAAAGGAGTGATTCCTCCTGGCAGGGATTTTCCTGGCAAATTTATCTCCGTTTCATTCTCAGGATTCTCATAGGGATGCTAATATCAGTCCAAACCCCCTCCAGATTCTGACCGTCCTTTATTTCTTTGTACAGGAAGGTTCTTAGCAGACGCAGTGAGAACAGATACATTTTTGAAAGCACTTTATTCTTTCTGGGATGACTTAGGCGGAACTGCCAGTTCAGAGAGCAAATTTGGGCACTTCTCTACTGTGAGAATGAGCTTTCTTCTAACCATCCTGGAGGGCTTCACCAAGTTTTGCGTTAAGCCTCCTCTAGGAAAAATAAGCTGCGCCCCATTGTTCTTGCATGAATCTGTATTTTTACAAGTATAAAATATCACATTCCATAAGACAGGTGTTATTTAGGAACGCTCCAGTCCTCGACAGATGAGAGGGAATAGTTACTGTGATTGCTCAGGCAGTGCGGGTAGACGATGCTGCTACCTCCCCTGTGTCCTGTGGGCACATCCCCTGAATGCTGCGCTACAACAAAAGAATCCCTCCCTTGGCCCTCACTGTTAGGACCTGGTACTCTGTTCTGCATCACCAGGGCTTTGGCTCTTTATTTTCCCCTCTGGAAGACTTGGATGTCTTGCACACCTGGTAACTTTGGGGATGGCTGCGCGTGGGAGGGTACAGATACTGTCCATCTTTTCCTGAACCCCTTCCAGTATTAGCAGATAGGTATGCGAAGTCCGGTCCCAACCTACATCCCATCTACAGCTGGATACGTGCCTCTGCTGCCGTGTCGCAGCCATCCATGGAGCACATTAATTATCTGCTCATGATATCAGGGAGCACCTTCCAGCCGTGTGGGCTTGATCCACCAAACCACCATACTGGATTTCTAAGTATTTCCCCAGATGCCCCTAGATTTAAGGCAGCTTTAAACGGCTACCCTGAAACCCTCGCCTAGCTCTGTATCCCTCACCACAGTTTCGTAGTTCCCCAGAATCGCTCAGGCTGCCTATTTCTGTAATAAGTTACTGCTTTCTGACTGCTGCATGCAAAATTTAGGAATGCATTGATACATGACATCCTAATACGAACCATACCAGTAACACTGGAATTTAAATATTCATGGCTACTGAATGCAGATGGTGAATACTGTGTGCCAATACGTTATTGCTTTGAGTCTCTGCTGAAGCGAGGTTTAGTCCAACTTTATCTGAACACGAGGATTCCAGTCTAATCCTTCGGGGCTTTGTCTTGCAATTGCAACAAATAACTATTTATTTTACACTGCCTCTGGGAAAACCCTGAAGCAGAAAACTATAATATTTTATATCTGAAGTCTGGTCTAGTTTACGTAGCTGGATGCTGACTGCTAAAACACTTAGGGAATGCCAATGTTTCGATTTATTGAACACACTGTGTGACTTAAGCTTAAGAGTGCAAAATTCATGAAAAGTTTCAGCCCGTTTAACGCATTTTTCCAAAGTTTGTTTGGAAACACACTTATTTTACTCATTCTTTATAAAAAATGGAACTGAGACAAATGCTGCCATTTGAAACTGGCTGTTTACTTGTATAAAGATAAGTAAAAAGAAGTGATAGAAATACTACGTGGCAGATTGAACTAAAACCAAACAGATGCAATGGATTTGCTTTCAGTTTCTTTTAACGTGGAAACCCATCGTGTGTTGCAGCATGAAAGGTTAAAAGATGTGCGTCTTTTGGGAGGTAATTAAAGAACACTTGCCCCACGAGTCTATTAGTACCTGACTCTGACCCGCAGGTTATGACTTTCTTGTTGAGGTAGGCAGGGACATGCTATGCACACACCTGGTGTTTATGGAAAGCGCAGTACGGAGATAAGCTGCTCCGATTGTTCCAAAAACCTGCCTTCAACTACCAACAATAGCAGCAGCAGCGTTCCTGAAGTATCAGAAAGGACCGGTTGCAAACAAGTAAAGGCAAAAAAAGAATTCCTTTCACTGAGGAGTTAAATCGCTTGAAAACTATAAAATGTCTTGCGAGCACTTCTTGCAACCTGTTGACAACATAGCTGAGATCACTGGCATGGGACTTGTTGATAGCTTACACAGACACCTGCACTAGATGCTGAAGTAGTGGGAATTTTTCTTAGCTGTGCTCAAACTTACTGTACTCCTTCGCCTGTGGCTTGGGATGCATTTTTTGAAGATTACATATAGTCTCATTAGAGATCCCTGCTCTTGTGTGACACTGATACAGGCGCTGCAGTCTTCCAGCTGTATCCCGGGCGGCAAGGTAAATCCACGGTGCTCTGCCTATTGTTCCATCTTCTCCTTTCTTTCTGAGGTCCCCTAAGCATTTTTCCCCCTTCAGCTTCCCCTTTGCTTTCCAATAACCTCCCCAAACTGAGCTTCTGACACCCATCCAGCCAACTGATCCCTGCCTGCTTTGGGGAGACGCTC